TGTTTTGAATGTCTTGTAGATTTCAGACACCTTCGTTGGGCTCTTGAGATGTATCGGTGTTAAACAGAATGAAAACTGTTGCATTTCCCATGTGTCTTCTACACATTTGCTTACACACACACACACACACGTAAAAAAGAAAATACACACGAATATACAGTATGTGTGAATATAATGAACAAAACCTTTGATTTGAAATTGGTATGTGTATGTTTGTGGGTCGTTGTGATGCAATCATTCTCTGGATCAGGTGAATATTCTACACACGAAGGATCTGAGCCACAGTTTTTTATGCAAACCATCTGAAATTCAAATTATTGCTCTGGTCATGGTCAGTATTATTTTTTTATTATGTGATTAAAGCATATTGGTTTCCCTACCACTTGCAAACGGATACAAGTTGACTAACCATTGGCTCAAGAGCTGACATGTCAAATGAAAATATCAAACAGCTAAAGATTTCAATCAGGGATGAACAGGATGCTTCATGTCACCGAAGTCACCACATCAGACAAATGTATAAAGGCATGATTGCATATATATCACCTTTGGGTAACAGCTGGTGGCTGATATTCAAAAAGATTGAAAAATCAAAGAGACACAAGAAGTCTTGAGATCTAAGACGAGGATATGCAAATTTGTGATTGGATGAAAAGTCTCTGAAGATTCAGGACTTGAACGTGGCTGTCACTAGCAGTGCAATCGTAATACGGCAGCATGTTTTAAGTGGATGCTCTCGAATCTACCAGTCTCGCTAATGAAAGGCCTCTCATGAAGTCACGCCATTGTTGAAAATACAAGTCCTTCCGTTCCACAAAAAGCGACCAGGATTATATTAACTGCTGGATATTGTTTTCCAAACTGAGCCAAAACAGTAACATATCCCTGAAACTGTACTGTTTGCCTCAAAACGTCTGTTGTGTTCCTGAAAGTGTATCGTAAATAAAATATTATCATGATGAAATAAAGATCTACGAAGAAACCAAATTGTTTTGTGTGAACTTAGGCAGTATTTGGGCTTAGGATTCATTTTTGACTATCAGCAGTGCCAGCATGTTTTCTGCTTTCCCTTTTCCAAAAAGAATACTACCTGTGCAGATGAAATAAACAATGCTGTTGATTTCACCTCTCATAACAATTGGCCATTATGCATGGTTCAAGAAAAGCAGTTTTTAAGTAAATAAATGATTAATGTAATTGTAGTTGTTGATGATATCAACTTTTAAATTGAGGGCAGTGGTGATGCAAAACCAGAAACAGTGATATTTGGAAGTATTTATGTATTATTAAAAAAGTTTCTAGTTTAATTTGAGTTTTAGTCATTTATGTGCTTCGTCATTTTAATTAGTTTTTGATCAATTCTATTTAGCTTAATTTTTATTTCAGTTTTAGTATTAGTAATATATAGTAGTAATTAAACATGTCATACATGTTTGAATTTTTTAATTGCCAAGGCAACATCTCTAATTTTCATTCAAATGTTCAAGTTTACATTTTTATCTTATATTTAGATTATTTTTGTTTAAGTAAACAATAATAGAACATATCGAGATTATGATAACATTTATGTTAATTATGATGATAAGCTCTGAACATTTTTACTCAATATGGATTAATCCAACATCCTATCACAAATTTAGGGGAAAATAAAATGCATTTCATGGGGCCCTAAATTAAAACATAGCTCCTCTGTGGAATTTAATTGTGAACAAAGTTACGGTTACCTTTATTCTCAAGGTCTAACAAACATGTGGAAAGCATTTTCTTCCCAATTAATGGGAAATTAATATAATGATAAATATCAATATTGTATGATATGGAAAAAAAATATATTGTGATAGCCTATTTTTATAAATTTTTCTGGAATATTTTCCTGGATTGTTAAAAAACGTTTAAAATGCTTGTGAGAAATCATTAATGTTTATTAATGGAAAGATATCAAGATATCAATTAATATATTAATTAATAGTATATCAAACAAGTAGCCCTTGAGACTATTTTATCCCTTCAGGGAGCCCTCACTCACAAAAAGGTTGGAGACCCCTGCTCTATAGTGTATATAACTTGTTCTAGTTATACTCAGTAGCACTATTGTGCTAAATGTTTTAAAAGTTGTTCTTTGTTTTTTATTTAATCCTTATCCAGTATTCACAAATGGCAGGAAAAAGTCATGGAAATATTTTGCATTATTCTAAAATAGATATGCAGAATTTGTTTACGTAGTAGTTCAAAACCAGGACTGTCCATTATTCTGACACAAGGGGGCGCCAAATTATCATCAATAAACACACAGACTCTTGCCTAAACCTGAATTTGATTATTATTTTTTTTAGGTCCTTATCTTATATTTTGTTGTGGTGAGGAAGTGGGGGCCACACACGGCAAAAATATATTGCGCATTAAAAAAAAGACAAAACTCAATTGTTGAAACAATGTTATAAATAAAAAGGTTGTATTATCATACAGATAACATTAATCAAAATGAAACTTACATGTACTGAGCACTCGCACAAGCGAGGGAAAACTACTTCAATGTATCTGTAAAATGTACTGTAAATGAGGCTGGGGACCGAGTGACTTGTGCTGGAGTAGATACACAGTGCCATCACCCCGTGTGTGCACATTGATATGTCCTGACCAAAAATGAGTGAAAATAAAGAGAGAGAGAGAAAAAAAAACCTTCTACCAGTGTGCTCGTGTCCTCAAATGGATAAAAATAGTGAAGCATCCTGAATTTTCTATTTGAAGACTGAACACTATATACAATAAGATTAGTTTCCCAGTGTCCACAGTTGACTTTCTATCATACGCGTGTTGTTCTTTGTGAAATCTTCAAAAATGTTTTCTTCATAAAGGGAAGAAGTCGCAAAAACATAGGAGAGATAACATGCATTCCTCATATTGTAGTAATAAAAGAATAAAAACAATGGATTCTGAACTTGCTTTTGTACAGTCAAAACATTTTCTCATAAATCTTTTTGTCTAAATGCTGAGACAGACATAGGATTTGATTGTATGTACTAAAACTACTGGTACCTGAACTAGAAACATATGGAAACCTCAAAAAAAAAATTACATACAAGTTTGAACAAACACACAAAACACATTGCAATACATTTATATTACTTTTGACTATCCTCGGCAAGTGGCTTCTATAGGACGTCTGTGGAGTTGAGCTAAAAGTCAGACTGGGAAGGTGGCACAGCATTTTCCCTTAAGCTTAGGATTTTTAGGTTACTTGAATACACTGAACGGTGTGTATATCCCAAATAAAAGCTTAAAATGTTCCCAAATCTACGCTTTAATGGCCTAAAATCTGAAAAAAAGTCTCAAAAATGCACTATTTTCATCTTTCATCGTTCATTTACGCTACGATTTCTGCTAGTTGAACATCCCTCTCCTGCAAAATGTTTCAAGTATATGAATGAAATTTAAAATGACAGTGATCTTTAAAGTATTATGTGACCAGAGGAACAAAATTTTCTTCAAAGGTCATTCGTTTTTGTACAAAAAAACCAAACATTTAAATGTTATATGTCATTAGAATCAAATCAAATATGCTGTTTTCTCTTATTACAGATTTCAGGTTTCAGTCTAAAGCTCAGTATCAGTCAACCAAATCAATAACATTTCCATACGATTATTTTCATGAAATCTTTACAGCTTTACTAAAAAAATATGTAAAATTGAAAATATTGAAGAAAAAGAAAAAAAAAAAGCTTTAGCTCAACAGCAGAAAAACGTGTATTCATGCACATAAAACATAATGGACAACACATGAAACACCTGCGATCTTCTACGGCTGTCTTTTGAACCCTTTCCTCCTGTCAGTCCTATTTATGAGGATTTTAACGACGGCATCCTGTTTGTGGCATCATCTCCTGCCTTATTTAGAAACCCGGGATGATGCAATAGGCTTCCATGGAGGAGAAGATGATGTACATCAGCCAGAGACTGAAAAACAATGTTGTGGTGAGGATTTTGGGAGTCTGCGGGCCACCCAGTTCCCCTCCGATCTCGGGCCGACGGCGGTACATGAGGACGGCGATACAGATGAAGGCAAAGATGGTGAACAGGGTGACAGAGAACGCCAGCGTGCCGGGGTCCACGCGGAAGTACTGGCCTTGTGACTGGTGAAATATGGCAGCAGTGTTGTGCCCTACTGGGCCACTGTACCTTTAAGATAAGACACTAAAACATTTCCATATTAGTCTATCAGCATGTTGCATTGATTAAAAAGACTTTTCACGTGATTAAATGCATGTGTTTAGTTACACTAATGGGCTGATGATCTATTATGACTGCTTACATCCTCACAATCACTTAATGAAACAAGATGTTGGGTTAATTGGCTCAAACATACACACACCATATGAGATCACACATTTATAATGACGAAAGGAAAATGAATTAAGGAAAAGAAAGCGAAATGGATGAACAGGAGAGGAAGTGTATACCTGTGATGCTGATAATGGTGGAGGGGATTGGTTTGTCTCTACCCTGCACTTTCCGGTACACATCCCTGCCTGATGAGCCCAAACACATTAACTGAACAGTGTTAGCACAGATGCTAACAGATCTATGCAGCTTTATCTACGATGGTACACAACTAAATAAAGTTTTATAAAGCAGATGACAAAATCTCAATTATCTCTTGAGAGAACAGTGCAAATATGTATTGCCTCTTTGATGTATTATAGTTTGATAGACATTACAGTGTACAAAGTATAATATATATATATATATATATAAAAGTATAATAAACAGAATTGTTTCTGTTGCGTTGTGCACTACTGGGCCACTGTACCTTTAAGATAAGACACTAAAACATTTCCATATATGTCTATCAGCATGTTGCATTGATTAAAAACACTTTTCACGTGATTAAATGCATGCGTTTAGTTACACTAATGGGCTGATGATCTATTATGACTGCTTACATCCTCACAATCACTTAATGAAACAAGATGTTGGGTTAATTGGCTCAAACATGCACACACCATATGAGATCACACATTTATAATGACGAAAGGAAAATGAATTAAGGAAAAGAAAGCGAAATGGATGAACAGGAGAGGAAGTGGATACCTGTGATGCTGATAATGGTGGAGGGGATTGGTTTGTCTCTACCCTGCACTTTCCGGTACACATCCCTGCCTGATGAGCCCAAACACATTAACTGAACAGTGTTAGCACAGATGCTAACAGATCTATGCAGCTTTATCTACGATGGTACACAACTAAATAAAGTTTTATAAAGCAGATGACAAAATCTCAATTATCTCTTGAGAGAACAGTGCAAATATGTATTGCCTCTTTGATGTATTATAGTTTGATAGACATTACAGTGTACAAAGTATAATATATATATATATATATATAAAAGTATAATAAACAGAATAAATGAAGTCATTTAATGAAATAATTACATATTATAATGAAATATATCACAAAGTAATTAATTGAGGTTAAATGGAATATTTGTAGGCCTATACTTTTAAAAATGTCATAAAAAGGTGATATAAGTCATAAAGGCTATGATTAAGATAATGAACACTCTGATGATGTAATAATTGTTAGCAAACTGCAGTTTATAACACCATATGACCTCAACTTCTAGTATGTAAAATCAACCACACCTTTGCCCAAATAGAATTCATTCAATTCTTCTACCTTACATCTGCTAATTTTAATATACACTGTTCTCTCAGGGATGACATTTTTTCAGCAACAGACACTCCTTGGACACAGTATTCAAAATGCAAACGTTTTCTTGAGAATCAATGTGCACGTCACAGTTGAACGAGTTTGACAAGACAGTTACGAAAGCACTGACACGTTAGCTACTGCAGACTAGCTGCATTCTTATCAGGAACCAGCCTGTTAGCTTTTGGGAGTAATGTCAATGATGGTTACTGGATAGGTCACAGTGGGTTGTGTTGTTGCCCATCACACAATGCCTTTGTGAAACTTTGTGGCATGCAGCAAATGTGGCATTTCAAACAATCAGCATATCATAGAAGATGCAGGGCACTGCGACAGAAATCAATCTTAACTTAGTGCTTTGTATACAACTTGAAAATTAGACCGTAATGTTTTAATTGAGTGCACAGGCAAGTTAGTTTCAGAAATTAAAGTTAACAGGTTTATTTGGTATTAGAGACATTGTCTGTGTCTGAAACCTTTAAAATATTGATAACTATAAAGAAGTTTGTTTGTTCATTGTTGTTAGTTCAGGCCAATTCACACTGCACTGACAGACGCGACCAATGTAGATAACCAGATTATAGTACATCACTTCTCAGTGTTCAACCTCAGTGTTCTTAGTGTTCAATTGGCGAAAACAAGCTCCAAAAGACAGGGGTAACACACTGATCAGACGAAACCTGATGAAGTGTCTGTAGCAGTTTGCCGGTGTGGTGTGAATTGACCATAAGAAAAAAAAAAGTGTCTGATAGAGTGGTTATAAAAAGTAAATACATTTTTTTTTTAATGAAAACAGTACTTAGAATTTAAAATGATTTTTAAAAATTAAAAAATTTAAAATAAATGTATTTATAATCAATTTAAATTTCAATTCAGTATCATATAAGCATTGTAGTCAATATTTTCAGACACAGTCAGAAACGATAAATTATTGTATTATTTTTTTTATTTATAATAATAATTTTTTTTATTTATAATAATATATTTTTTATTTTTTAAAAATAAAAATAATTTATAGTACAGTTATATATATATATATATTTATACAGTATACATTTTTACCCACTAAGAAGCAAGCATTGTAGTTTTTTGGACACAGGGGTGAAATATAAATTATTATTTGTCAAATATTATTTATAATTCATAATAATACTTATTTAATTACAAAATACAAATAAATGATACTAAATTTTGATTCAATGTATTTTTCTCCCATTTATGAATCAATTTCTACCAAAAAAGTAACACTGCAGTCATTATTTTCAGACACAGCCATGACAATCAAAATCAAATCCCAATAATCTACTTGACTGGTCATGTAAAGTATTTTTGCTGTGAAAGTTGCTTAACAGGAAAGACAGCAAAGCAAATTAGACACTTAGTACCTATCTCTGGTCCTATTTGAGTAAATGAGCCTATCAAGCAAACACACCAAGCCTCTAGTTTACGCAGTGTGACAAACAAAGGCTCCAGCTCATCATCAAGCAAACCAGTTACTAAACACACCCAATGTTATATTTAGTCTTCAACTAGGTGAAAAGTAACATTTAATCTCTTACCATAAAGCTTCTTATCTATCAAAGAAAAGATTATCATCAAAAAGATTAAATCTATGACCCAGAATTCATCCGCTTGGTTAGCTAAGCAAGTTAGCTTAGGTAGCTTGTAATGAGTTAGCTGAGCAGTTCCAGTGAAATATTACTGTACCTGTCTTCACGAATCCACCTAAAATCATAAAAGCAAAGCAAAAATGATCTCACTCTTTGTTCATTTCATGTTTTACAGATTTTTAATAAGGAAAGAAAATTATGTCAGTATGGGCCCAAATGAATGTGTAAATACGTGTTAGCATAATTTGATTGTTGGCCATGCTGTTTCACCAGCTTGACCAGCAGCAAAACAATATTAACCAGCATATAACTAGCATTAGCAACCAGCATGGAAAGTGGTCTGGTCTTTGCAGCATGGAGAGTGAAAAAGGAACCAGATTGGTAGGTGATCTTATCAGCATCAGCAGACAATGTTTGATTAAATTTGAACAAAGGGCTTGTACATATTAACAAATAAACATCTGCATCCTCTTGTGATGAGCTGAACATTTTTAAGTGATTTACAGAAATAGAGCAGCGAAAAAAGAGACAGCTTACCACATTCATGCAGCAACATAGCTGATGTAGACAAATCAAGAAGAGACAGGACAAAAAAGCAAAGAAAAAATGGAGATAAAGAAAGAGCAAAATTATTATGAATGAGCCAACAGAGTAACACAGACAGGGTTGTGTAAGAAATTTGTGTTGCTAAATATAGATGACTCCCAGTGGGACTGGGGCTTAGAGAAAGTCTCTGAAATCTGACTGCAAATTCAATAGAAACTGGTGGAAATCATCAACATTGGAAAATAGTGGAGTTCTGAATACAAATTATACTCCATTATATTCTCTATACACTGAAATGTTTGGAGTCAGTGAGATTTTTTTCAGTGTTTTTTGTGAAGCCAAGCGTGCATTTGATTGAATACAAAATACACTAGAAATAGAAACATTAATACAATTTAAAATTTCATTATATTCTAAAAAGCTGAATTTTCAGCGGTCATTACTGCAATCTTCAGTGTCACATGATCCTTCAGAAATCCTTCTGATATGCTGATTTGCTGCTCATTTCTTATTGTCAATGTTGTGAACAGTTGCGCTGCTTATCTTTGATGCTTTTTTTCCAGGATTCTTTGATAAACAGAATGTTCAAAAGAACGGCATTTATTTGAAATGTTAATCGTGTGTAACAATGTAAAAGTATTATCTGCCACTTTTGATTAATTTGATGTGTCACTGCTAAACAAAAGGATTTTCTTACTTTTCTTATTTTCTTAAAAGTACATTCTTTAAAAAAAATCATACTGACACCAAACTTTTGAACATTAGGGCACATAGTAGGACATTCAGTTGAACATATTCATTTGGTTTGATTGATTGATTAATTAATTAAAAACAATAACAATGTAATAAATGTCCCCTGACCTATACTTAAAAGTCAAAATATTGTAGTTTTCCAACTAATGGAGCAATTCCACCTCATAAAGTTCTACTTTAATGTTTTGTTTTATATAATATATATATATATATATATATATATATATATATATATGACTGCCACAATGTCATAAATTATCTTAATTTAGGGGATTCATTGTGATTAGATTAATTATTGAGCATATCACAATAAGCCCTACAACATTGAAAAACTGATATGAAAAAATATGAAATATGAAAAATTAGTATGATGTCAACAAAAATCTTATATCATATTGCTGAATCAATCTTTTTCTGTCAGAAAAAAATATGAAATCTCATAGGCGCATGGAATTTGGTAAGAAACCCATGTATCTGCTGCTCATTATGGTTTCAATTGTCCTTGCCTCATCCTGGCCTGAAGGAACGGTTCCTACATCTTTACTCCTGGCCAGAATCATCACATTAAAAGTCAGCCAGTTATGCCTACTCGCTGAGAAAGCTTTTAACCTTTGGCCAGGAGGGAACATGAAAGATATATCCACTGAAATTGAGCAGCAAACAGGAAGAAAACGGCATTACTGCAATAGTAGAATGAAAGTAGAGGATCAGCTTTGAAGGAGGAGCGGAGGAAGGGAAAGACAGAAGCCAGAGATAAAGGGCAGCTGCAGAGACAGGAAAAGGCTTGTTTCACTCGTTTCTTTACTATCTTTCACCTGTCCATCCCCTCCTCCTCCATTCTGGTTCCTGCAGCTCTATGAAGAAGTTTGCATGCTTGTCATACTCCTCATGGTCAAGAATTTTAACCTTTATGGTCTTCCTGTGGGGGGAACATAAAATCACATTTGAGGTATGAAGTGTGCTTGTGTGTTCAATTTTAGGCATATCAGATGCCTCTAAGTAAATGAGTCAATCAAATCTATGAATAATTATGACACAAGACTCTCTTTTCTCATTTGATTCATCTGTCAATTTTGCTCCAGAATTCTGTAATGGAGAAATGATTATGCATCCCACTCTTCAGAAGTCAAGAATTGCATAGAATCGGATCAAATTTTGCGTCACAAAAGGCCACTGAGATAAGAGTAACTAGATAAGATGCTATTTTAAGCATACATTAAGTCTAGAGATGTTGTAGGCCAACTAACAGTGATTCTTTGGCCTGTTGGCTTTGCATATTATTAACACTTCCTGTTCAGCCCAGAAGATGGCAGCACACCGAGGCTGTTACAGGGCAGACGACATCCCACCTTTTCTCTCACTCATTTCCACCAATTGTGGCTCTCCAATCTCCAGGAAGAAGTTCTTATTCTTTTCATACTCCTCGTCATCGATTATATTGATCTGAATAGTGTTGCTGAAAGAGAAAGAGAGAAAGAAAAAGAGCACAAGTTTGCAGACATGAGAGAGGCACAAGGAAAGGCAAAGAGTGGAAGAGTAGAGTAAAACATGCTAGAGAAATAACCAAAAGCAAAATGAAAGAGTATGGACAATGAAAATGTTGTAAGCAACATAAAAAGTTATTAAAATGTTCAAATCTAAAGGAACAGTGCATTTAAAAAAAATAAAACTGTCATCATTATTATTATTTTGTTTGTTGTTGTTGTTGAACACAACAGGAGCTGATATGCAGGAAATCCACAATGTTATTTTCCATACAATGTATGGGGTAAAAAAACAATAATAAGTAACATATTGTGGTCAGTCTGAATGAATTGCTCATCTGCACATACTGTGCATGTTTATTATCTATCCATTGACTGTTTTATATGCTCACACTCACATTGAGCAGAATACATAATATAATGTGAGAGTGTCAGGGGCAATGGAAAGCATTTGAAAAATGATCTGCAATCACAGCTGTGTTTACTGGAATATACTGGCCTAAAAGCCCTTTAAGTGCTTCTGTCTGGTTTTGAGAATAATACAACAACAGGCTCTCCCTCCATCTCCCTTTATTGTTACTTTTTAAAAATAGTATCAATTTACTTTAACCATTACACAATGCACTGTAACAAGCCACTGCCAAAAAAAAAATATATATATATATATATATATATACACAGTGGGGAAAAAAAGTATTTAGTAAATCTTGCTTGTTTGTAGGTGACCAAATACTTATTTTACCGAGGAATTTACCAATTAATTCTTTAAAAATCCTACAATGTGATTTTCTGGATTTTTTTTCTCATTTTGTCTCTCATAGTTGAGGTATACCTATGATGAAAATTACAGGCCTCTCTCATCTTTTTAAGTGGGAGAACTTGCACAATTGGTGGCTGACTAAATACTTTTTTGCCCCACTGTATATATATATATATACAGTATATATATAAAATCTCAGGCCATCTAAGATGCAGATGAGTTTGTTTCTTCATCAGAACAGATTTGGAGAAATTTAACATTACAGCACTTGCTCACCAATGGATCCTCTGCAGTGAATGGGTACCGTCAGAATGAGAGTCCAAACAGCTGATAAAAACGTGACAATACTCCACAAGTAATCCACACAAGCAATCCACACAAATCCAGTTTCAATCCTGCTTCTAGCTAAAATACGAGTCCTCTAGCTATAATATTGGTTTCTCCAGTGTCATCTAGTCACCAAGTTGTCTTGTCTGAAACTCATGAATGAAATGTGCACAGATCAAGTAATGTTTACAAGCGAAAAACAGTCCAAAACAGCTCTAAACAAATATGTTGGTGGATTTTGATGTGCGAGGATAAAGGGGGATGGACTTTTTTACTGGAGAAAGCTTCATTATGAACTCATATTTTGGACAAAAGTGGCAGTATAAAGTTAAAATGTTTCTTACAAAGACAACGTTCAACTTCACAAGACATTAATTGATGGACTGGAGTTGTGTGGATTACTTGTGGTTTATTATGACGTTTTTATCAGCTGTTTGGACTCTCATTCTGACGGCACCCATTCACTGCAGAGGATCCACTGGTGAGCAAGTGATGTAATGCTAAAATTCTCCAAATCTGTTCTGATGAAGAAACAAAATCTACATCTTGGATGACCTGAGGGTGAGTAAATTTACAGCAAATTATCATTTTTGGGTCACCTATTCCTTCAGGAAGGATTTGTCTGACCGACATTTATGATCATGATATCCAATCATGCAGAAATTGTTTAAAATTACATTATGTCTGCCAGTTTTAGCCAGCACTTGCTATTCGTGTATGCAATGCGCATCAGATAATCAGCGAACAGCCTGTGGGCGGCCAGTGGGCGTGTCATTTTAGGCTGAGACTAAGACAGAACAGACAGAAAGCTAAAACACCTCCCTTGAAATACTCTCTACCTTCATCCAGGCATGTGCTCAAAATAAACCCTTCCTCCTGTCTGTGGGCATATAAGCTCCGCTTGTCACAAAGTCACAGAGACTGAAAAAGCGTACTGGGTGATTCTATGAAATGGGTGCCTCTTTCAGCGTGATGATAAGGTGATTTTTAAAGAAAAGAACATTTAAATAAGATTTTAAACATTCCGTCAGGCACATAATGTGTCGAAGTGTTTTGAATTTCATCTCAAGCTAAATAATTAAATTTTCAATACATGTTGGCATTTAATTATGCATTCAGATTGTTGATAGTTTAACACTTTAATTAGTAACCAGGTACAAAGTGATCTACAAACATTCAATTTTTCATATACAAAATCACAATAATGAAGTTGAAAGTTAAAGATTAAACACAACATTTAATGACAAACCATAAGAAAAGTGATAAAAAGAGGATACTTTAAGTTTAGTTTGTGAAAGAGTAATACGTTTTTTATTATTAGTATTATTATTATTTGGGAAGTATTCTTTTTAAAAATAATTTCCATGTATTTTGTTTTCAAAACGTGTATATTTATAAGAGCAAGACAATGGATGGGGACAAGCTAAAAAGAGGCATTTTCATGAAAATATGATCTAAAATATTATCCAAAAATATATTAGTTACAAGAAAATGTCCACATTAACACATAGTAAAAGCTGGCATCAGCTACTTGTGACTGTTTACACATTTATATGTGAAGAACACAAAAAGCATTTGTTTGGTAAAATGACCCTAGTATTTTCGAAACCAAACCCTAGCTAATCTAGAATGCATTCTATAACATTTAATTTCATTTGGCACATAATTATAATTTAAATAAGTAAAGTGCAGACAGGTTGCTCTTTTCCTCTTTCATGCCAATAAGACTGTCCATCTGTCTTTCTGTGACTGACAGCCTGTACTGACTCAAACCACAGACTGATAAACTGTGACGAGAACAAAAAGGACAAATAGAGAAAAAGCCCTACAGATGGAAAAGAACACAGTGCCATAGTGTGTCTCTGTATACATAGTATAGGTTTATGTAATAGTAAGGGTTTACAGGGCCCGGCCCCAAATACGTAATTTGCCAGACAATGCCAACAATGCCAGACATAATTTACTAAATCCTTTTACTAAACACTTTTCTTCTATCATAAGATGTTTCAAGTTTTTAAAAAAAGTTTTAAAAGAATAGTTTACGTAAAAATGACAGTTATGTCATTATATAATCAATTCATATATGGTATATCCTGAAATAAAAAATGGCTCAAATGAGTGTAAGAATGTACTCCCCTTTCTCACCCTTTTCCCCATTTGCCCTCTGATTCTATAGAAAGCAACATAAGCAGTCTGTCAATTCATTTTATGGGACAATCTACAAGATACCATTCCCATGTTTGATGATATCCAGAGGCGCTTCTACTGCAGCAATGCTTACCAAATATGGAGAGTAAACTAATGTGAAGAGCGGTGGATGCTTCCCTTATACACAATTTACTCTTACTTCCAGCTCTGTCATTTTGCATACAACACCAGAAATGATTCTTGACTAAATGGGCAAAACACATAAATTGATAATAAAAACAATGCCAAATAATAATAATAATAATAATAATAATAATGAAACAAAAAACAGAAATTTAAAGGAAGTTTAAATGGATAGTAATTTGTTTAAAATACTTGTATGATTCACTTTCTTTCTTTCTTTCTTTTTCTTTCTTTCTTTCTTTCTTTTTCTTTCTTCTGTGGAGTTTAAAAAAGTTATTTATTGTTAACTAAAATGAAAACTATTAAAATGTGTTTCCATTAACTTAAATAAAGCTGAAATAAAATAAAATAGATTTATTAGACGTAAAAAAGAATTGTTTTCAAGGCACGAATTTCAGTAAATAAACAATTAAATTGCTGTCTTTTCTTCCGAAAGCTATCATATGGCTTCAGTATTGTGCATATTGAATATTGTGTAATATTGTATGTCCTTTAATGAGGCTTTTTGTCATTTTTGGAACTTGACAGCACCTGGTCCCCGTCCAGTTTCATTGTATATAAGATTGCAGTTCAAACATTCTGCAAAATGTATCCTTTTGTGTTTCACAAAGAAAGTCATACAAAGTTGAAACAACATGGGGGTGAATAAATGACAAAATGTACATTTTGTGGATAAAATGTTCCTTAAAAAGTTTATATTAGCACCTGCTATGTTGTTAACATCTTGTTTAAATTGAGCTGTTATGTGCTGTTATTCTGAATCATAATGGTTTGGAGGCATAAATAATATGTCAGCAACAAATATGACTTTAAGTGCTAAAGTCATAATATAGGCCTTTGGCTGTTGCTTTAATCAACAATGACCTTACGCTAGTGTGCAAACCACATTAATGCGTCTATACAGTTTTATGACCAATGAAGAAGCAGGGTTCACTACAGATTTTTCATAAATGTTTGTTTAAGCAACTGTGTGTGTGTCTGTGTTAATATTTCAAGTTTGAGTAAAAAAGATGCCAGCTGGTTTTAAACAGGAAGGCAAGGACAGAACGAACCTGCAGCACAAAGCGCAATTTGAAAAATCACTGTGACACCGGCTTGAAAAAGCCAAAGACCCATTTTTGCAGGTTATAAAGCAAAAACAATGTTGTTTGGTACAACCACAAATTGGTAAGTAGATCTACAGACAGACAGACAAACAGATACTTATATAATAATACTCAACATGTATATAAATAACACAGCAGGCATACATTTGAACAGTGTCAGTGCAGTAAATTCATCAGATGGAAGTGATGTATAATCTGCATGCAGGAAGCCAATTATATTTATTCTAATAACAAGGCATCAGTATGTCATCTGAAGCATTAGAGCCGCATTGCTTATATTTACTCCAGTTATTCTGCTCCGGATAAACTGTACAGAAAATCCAAGGTTAATGTAAACAGACATTGAAGGATAAATGCAGATTTATGTAATAATGTTTAACTGTATAATGTATAATATAATGTATTGTATAATGTACTGTATAATGATTAACATATTGCTTTATTGTGA